GGGCTGGCTCTGTTCAAGGGAAGCGCCTCTCTGGGCTCACAGAGCCCCCGCTGGCAGCCTGGGGGGGAAGAGGAGGGTTGAGATTTGCTGCAGGCATGGGGAGGTGGCCGCTGGGCTGCGGGTGAGTCAGCCCAGCCCTGCTCCTCTTTCCACCCCCGGGTGACACAATCTGCTGCCTCTCCTGCCGCAGGACCCCCGCCCCGTTCGACAGAGCCCTGCTCAGCGACCCCTTCTCCCTGCCCACCGTGGAGCTGGAGAGCCTGAGCGCCCTGGAGGTGATTTCCCACAGACCCAACTTCAACAGAGCGGCGCAGGGGTGGGTGAGGATCCTGCCGGAGAGCGAGGAGCTGTAGCGCCCCCCGCCCCGCTTTCCTCGCGCTGCACACGGAAGGGGAGCGGGAGGAAGGACTCCTCCCGAAAGCTACGCTGGTGGTCTCGGGTCATCATCCTCTTCGTCGGGGTTGGAACAAGTCTGGGACCATCTCACATCCCCCTCGAGCCAGCCATGGTCCCAAGGGCAGCTCGTGCCGCGCCACCCGGCCGAGTCCCCGTGAGCTCCCGTGCCAGACGCCCCGTGGAGCCTGCCCTCTGCTCTGCCTCATGGAAAAGGGCAGGACTGCCAGCTCCACACCAGCCTCTCACTGCTTCTCCACTGACACAAAACCCACCCCGACAGCTGGTGCCATTGCAGAGAAATTCCACCTTCAGCACAACTCTGCATCTGCCATTCCGGCCAGGACGGAGAGAGGAGGTGATAATTGAAGAGCAGGAGCAAAAGAAGTCACTGGAGGCACTGGCACGTTAAAAGCACTTACCCTGAGCTTGGCTGGACAGCAAAACCCAACGAGGAACTGGGAATCTGCCCGTTTACCCAGGCAGCACAACTGGGATACACGGGAGAGGAATGCTGGGAGTTGGAAAATTGCACCCTGTTCTCCACAAGCTGCTGGCTAGCACTTGGCAGCTATTTCCCCTTCCTACTGCTATTTGCATGCCTTGCTTCAGCACCTCGGCCCTGGGATTGACTCACACCAGATTTGCTTCATCTAGTTGGTCAGTAAGGATCAGGCCGTGGCCAGCCCTGCTGGTGCTGAGGTGACCACCAGGTCACACCACCAGGAGGTGATGTGGTTAAATTGGGCAAGTAAATTCTGTGGTAAAAATGCAGCTCAGGGCTGCCCCACTTGTGGGGTGTTGGTAATGCTGCACAGAGCAAATCCTGCAGCACAGCAGCCAGGCAGGCAACTTTTGTTGCTCTGTTCTTCCCACGGAAGCAGGAGAGGACAAGGAGAAAGGAATAGAGGTCTGTTCCTTAAACATTAAAAATGTATGATGCTCCACTACAGTCCTGTTCCAAACCCCTCTGTCTCCTCTCTTGCCCATCAGCTGAAGAACCTGTGTACCCCTGGGGACCTGGCTGGAAATAATAAATAAATTGTGACAGTGTAAAGTCTGCTTGCCTTTGAGATTGGTGGGCACAGAGCCCCAGCAGCAGAGTCAGGGCCAGGACAGCAGCAAACACCACAGCCCCCCAGCCCCCAAGCACATCTCTACCCGTCCACCAGCACTGCTCTGGGGTGGCCCAAAAACCTGAACTAAGTACACCCACGGCCCTTGCTGTCACCTCTAACAGCCTGGCGGGGCTGGCAGCACCTGTGGCACCCATACAGGATGGCACATAAAGCTGGAAGTGGACCTGCTGTCATTGCCCAAAGTCATCTTGGCTTTGGCAGCAGCCAAATAAAAGTCAAAGTCCTCGGCCACTGTGCTCCGGGAAGCAGGGTCTGAGCAAAGTGTTGAAAAATTCAAATGTTTTAATGTTGCTTTTTTTTTTTAAACAAGCAAATGAAGCTTCAGAACAGGTCCCGTCATGCTTTGCTTGACAGAAAGATGTCCACAGATCCATCACACGAAAGCAGCTGACATACAGATAAACTCACAATCCTCAGTGGGGTACACGCCTCACCCCACGGCGGGCTCCGGCAGGACACGGCTGCTCCTGGGCAAGTGCTACAGGTGGGGCACAGAGAGAAAGGTTTCACATCTTACCAAAGCAGGATGAGGTGGGATCTCTCTCAGTTTAGAGAAGACTCCATCCACAGGCCTCAAAAGCCCAACTCATGCTCTAAACGTAGCCCAGACAAGCCTGCAGCTGCCCCATGCCCTCCTCCGGCAGCCACACATGGCAGGGCCACCAGGGGGACTTTCCCCTGGCTACTAAGTGCCCATTGCTGACCTGTCACTGCCTGACCCCTTCTAGCTGGGGGCTGCTCACATCACCCAACGCTCCTCTTGCTCAGGATGTGCAGGATTAGGAGTGAAGCATCAACAAAAGCTTGGGTTTTAAGCAAGAAGTGAGGGAAAAGGACAATTCTGTGGCTACGGTAAGGCAAAGCCATGGGTTTGGCACATCTACCTGCTTGTTTTTCAGCTCTTATTCAGTCCTGGTTTAATACCTCATTAGAATAATAAGTAATTAATTACCTGACAGAGGAGTCCCTGGTTACATTTAAACTGTCCACAGCGTTCAGGCTGAGGATATCCAACAGGCTTGAAAAGGGGTCGGTTTTGGTTCTTTTCCAGAAGTTTATTTCCAAAGGGTGCAAACGGGCTACAGGGATCTCACCATAGTCCTGCTCCACCTGATCCACAGCCCCCAACATCTCCTCTGCCTGCCCCCAACCCCCCACCCCCCTAAAATGAACGACCTGGGGTGGATTTAACCCCATTAGCTAGTGGAGACACGGAGCTGGGCTCGCCCAGCGTCAGCGAGCAGGGAAATAAGGCTTCTCTAGCTCAACATCTGGTGCTACCACGGGAACTAGAAAATAACATTTACTTCAAGGAGGGCTGCAGGACGTGCTAAGGGCTGCTGTGCTTCCCCGCGTGGGCACCCATCCTCTGGGGGTCCTGAGATGGGTAGTGGATGGGGCCTGGGGCTCTCATGAAGGGAGGCGGGGGCCCCATGGCGTGGAACATGTGTGGCCCGAAACCTGCAGAAACAAAATTTGGCAGCCTCAGACAAAGAACAGGCAGTGTGGATTGAAAACAGACAAAAACCAGCTGGCTCACAGCTGTGCCTTCAGAAGGTGCACATCTCCCGTGATCCCTCGAATCCCCAGACTCCACCCCCTCTTCCCAGAAGAGCTGGGGGCAATCCTTACCCAGCACATCCTTGCTCCCAGATAAAAGCTGGGAGGACCACACTGCTGTCTCTGACACCTACCTAAATGCTTTCTACTCAAGCGTGGAGCAAAGTGAACACCCACAACAGTCTGACATCCCATAAAAAAGGGTCTCTGGATAGCTACACACAGGCAGAGCCAGACGTGGGCTGGCGTTCACCCAGCTGCAGAATTACCCCTGGGAGTTCAGGCTAGTGTGGAGTTTCCACAGCCAGCAAAAGCACCAAGCAGGTCCTGGGACCAGTAACAGGGAGCTCTGACATGCCTGAGAGTTTGCAAGTGAAAACACACCCCAACAGGCAGCTCCATGACCTGAACTGTGCTGACAGCTCACTTCAGATCAGCTATTTACACTGTATGATCAGGACTGAGGGGAACAAGCCCAGGGCACACACCAGCACTACAGTGCACCCAGGCAAGGAGGACCAGAGTGGCCAACACCACGTTAGACACCCCACTGGGAGGGGAAGCACAGGTACCTGGAGGTGGTGGTGGAGCAATGCCAGGAGGTGGTGGCAGGGCAATGTTAACCACGGCAGGAGGGCCACTCGGAGGTAGGTTGAAGTAATTTGCAGAAGCCTCCTCTTCTGCAGCTGGAGGAGGGGGCAGAGCTGCAGGAAAAGCACACAGTGGTTATGAAAAAAAAAAATAAATCTTTCAGTCAAGACATGCAGAGGTTCTGCCTTCAGAGAGAAGGCACAGACAGTTCTTCCACAAGGGCAAAATGCTGCCACTATGGTACTGCAACCCCTGAACAGTCCCCATTTTATTTCACTCAAAACCAGCTTTGCTTTTACCATCATACAATGCTCAGGGGATGAGGAAAACATGAGCTAAGCCTTCAAATACATGTTGCCAATATCTCAGACCAAAGGCACTTTAATTCAGCTTTGACTTTTTACCTATCACATAAAAATCTCTTCTCATCAAGAATTTGCTTCTAGACAAATTTTGCCTCCCATGCCAGCCAGATCTGCTGCAAACCTACCCTAAGGGACTGGTCTGGGCTCCCCAGTGTCCCCACCTCTGTCACTGCTCACAGAGCTTTAACACCAGCCTCTCTCCTGGAGCAGCTCAGCATTAGGTGTTTCAGAGCTGGAAACAATGCCCTCACCTCCGGGAAGCCCTGGAACTGGCTCCAGCTTTATCCCGGATTCTGTGGTACCTTCCTTGTCTTTGTCTTTTCCTCTTGCTGCCTGGGACCTGAAAACCAGACAAAAGTTTGGGAATAAGGATGAGAAAAGGCAGGACAGGCTGACATTCAGAACACGACAGTTCCACATTATCTAATCCAGATTCATTGCTTCAAGAAGATGAAATATTCACAGAACTGATACAAAGTGTGCAAACAGTGCCTGCAAGGGATGGATCAGAAAACCCAGCCGTGACCCTCAGCCAGGAAATCCCTCACACAATTTGTGCACTCCCCAACCCAGATCCTACTGCTGAAAGGAAACCAAGCTGCAAGAGCACCCCAACTAATCACCAAATCAGCATCTACTCCAGTGTGACACCCAACCCCGCACAACAGCGCTGCAGAAGCTGAGAGGGGAACCCCGTGGTGGTGTCCTCGGGGCCTCCTCCCCCACACCCACCTTCCCCATTTGACATTGAGCCTGCGACCGTTGACGATGAGCTTGTTGAAGGATTTCTCAGCAGCCACCTCTGCAGCTTGCCGGGTGGCAAACTGGATGAAAGCACATTGCTGCCTCTGCACCACCGTTATCGTCCGAATCTCCCCAAACTGGTAGAAGTGATTTCTGGGGGGGGTGAAATAAAGAAAATCGTTACAAACCCCCACTCCTCCTAGCCCCAGGGCACACAGCAGAGTAGGATTCATCAAGTGCTGAAACAGAGATGCTCAGATGCTTTTTTTCTCCATCACCAGTTTGGACTAACCATTAGAAACCAAGTTTATTGCCCCTCTATGCAATTATAGAGCTCTAAAAACACTGCAGCAGCTTTTCTCAGCAGTTAGCTAGAGAGAGGTGATGGGATTTACTTCTAAGAAGGGTAATACACCATCTCCAACAGCTCAGGAGGATGACTCATCTTTAAAGAGAGAAATTTTAATCAAAGCATTTGAAGTGTGCCTGTTTATCTGTTCTCCACCATTCTGGTACTCCTCTGCACCTCCCACCAACCAGTTCCCCACTAAGAGAACAGAAAACTAGATTTAGGGGTTTTTTTTTCCTTGCAAGAAAGGCTTCCTTGCTTCAAAATGAGCAGTAATCAAAGCATCAAATCATAAGGCAAGGACAATACAAATTCACCAACCCACCTGAGATCTGATTCAGTGATAGTATCTCCCAGGCCTCCAACATACAGGGTAGTAATAGTCTTGTCATCAGGGGGGTCTAGGCGAGGCATGGTTGAGGCTCGTTTCAGAAGCTTATCAGCCACGGGGTCGTTGATGCCATAGTAACGATCCTTGATGTTCTGATCAGCCAGAGGGTCGTCTGGATCCGTGGGTTTCTCATGTCTAAGGTTCAGCAAACAAATGTTTCACCACCCCAGGCACAGCTGCAGCAGGGCCAAGCGACTCCAGCTGCTGCTCTCCCTTCTAACAGCCTCCGAGCACTTATCTGCCTAACGCCCTTCACACAAGTGTGCCAAAAGGGAACAAAGAGCCCCAAGAGCTTAAACTGCAGCCAGGGCTGCCTCCAGTCCTGACTGAATGGCACTTGTGACAGCTCAGCGTTCAGCTCTACAGAACACAAGAGCCGCATTTCAAACGGCCTCTTGTTCAAACACAAAGAGGACGCCAGGAAGGGAAAAACGAAGCGTGGAAGGGAAGAGCTGCAGCCCCCTCTCCAGCAGGACCAGGCAGCCAGTTCCCTGCAGAGGAGCTCGCCGGGGCAGAGGGGCACCAAGCGGTGCTGTGTGCCAGCTGAACACACCCCACCCCCTGTCACAGCACAGCTCCTGCCCGCTGTGGCTCCTCCTGCTCTCACAGCCCCAGGAGGAGCCCGTTCTGACTCTGGGGAACAGGTCAGCTGTTTAAATCATCGCCGTACCTGTAGGGACACTCCTCTCCTCTCTTGCACTCTCCTTTGACCCAGAAGGAGCAGATGTGAGGACGGTTACGTTTGTAGTAGGGAGTGGTCCGTGCCAGCTTCAGCAGCATGTCACTGGTGGATGTTGCTTTTCCCAGTGCACCGACTGGTCTCGTGCCATCGGAGTTGGAAATCTAACCAGCAGTGAAAACACAAAGAATTAGGCATAAATCACCACTGAAAACCAACACACAGCACCAGAGCAAGCAAGCAATTTTGAGATAAATGACACTGTTCCTCCCCTTTCCCTCCTCATCCAGCCTTTCTCACCTCCCGTTCCATGTTCTGGGTGTAGTATTCTTTATTGACGTCAGATTTGGGCATTTCATCCTTAAGGGAGAGTCCTGCATCCCGGACTTGAATAGGCAAACCTAGGATGAAAAAGAAAACAAAAAAAGTCCCAAACAAGTCGTATGAAGCACAAGCTGAAAGAGCAGAAATAGTTACTGCAGCCTGCAACAGGCAGTGGCAACTCCCGGACTGCTCGGGCACAGCACACTGCTGAGCCTCAGGAGAGGGGTGATCAAGACCTGCTCTTCTCAAAGACTGTCCAGAGACAGCCATGCCAAGTACATCAGCCTGGCCTGTACCAAAAAAGTGTCCCCAGCAAGAGTAGGGAAGTGATCGTGCCCATGGACTTGGCACTGGGGAGGTCACAGCTTGAGCACTGGGGCCAGTTTTGGGTGCCACAGGATGAGGAAGACATTGAGGGGCTGGAGTGGGTCCAGGGAATAGCAATGAAGCTGGTGAGGGGTCTGGGGAACATGGCTTGTGAGAAGTGGCTGAGGGACCTGGGGTTGTTTAGTCTGGAGGAGGCTGAGGGGGGACCTCATTGCTCTCTACAACCTCCTGAACCGAAGCTGGAGTGAGATGGGGCTTGGTCTCTTCTCCTGAGTAACTAGCAACAGGATGAGACAAAATGGACTTAAGTTGCACCAGGGGAGTTTAGGTTGGATATTCAGAAGAATTTCTTTCCTGCCAGAGTGGTGAGGCATGGGGCCAGGCTGCCCAGGAAGGTGGTGGGGTCACCATCCCTGGAGGGTTTCAAAAAACACGTGGATGTGGACTTCAGGACACGGTTTAGTGGTCACAGGAGTGCTGGGTTGATGGTTTCTCTCCGTGATCTTAGAGATCCCTTCCAACCCTAACGATTCTGCAGGCACACATTGAAAGACATCCCACGAACTTCCATTTCAGAGGCTGCCACTTGAGCTTGTTCTCCCAGTTGCCAGGTTTGGGTACACACCATACTCCAGGTCGAGCAGGCAGGTCTGACAGACGTTCTTCAGCTTGCTGCACGTCTGGCACACCTCTGTCTTCTTGAAGCGCATCCGAACGCCCGGGCACCAGCGGAACACGGTGAAGGGCCTGGCACAGATCTGTGAGAGAGCCAACGCCCCTGTCACTGCCACACAGCAGTGGAGAGACCACCCTGCGCCCTCAGGGAAGCTGCAAACTCCTAACACATCTGACTCTGCAAGCTGGGAACACAATTCCTTCGGTTTAGTGCTAAGATGCAGAACTCAACAACTATTTGTTTCTATTTGTGCTTTACTTTGACCGCAGCCATTTTCAGGAAGGTTTTTTTTTCCCTTGTTGTGTTTTTTTATTATTATAATAACCCAAATGAAAAGCAGAACCTGAAAGCAGATCCTCTCAACAGAAAAGGAAATTCTCCTTCATTCCAGGTGATGTCAGCACAGAGCTATCAGAGATGTTACGTGTAAAGAAGTCACCAGGCCCAGTGAGAGGCTGAGATGTCTGCTCCAGAACATGACTACTGCTCCCTGCCTTTATGGTGGAGTGATGGATCTGCTCCCACTGCTTGCAGAATGAGGGAGGGAAGCAAGATTTCAGTATGTTCTTTCTCCCCATCTCAGATGACAATGGATAAAAGGGGAAAAACCTCCTTTCCCTCAGTGATGACAACACTACTCCTTGCTGTCTGAGACAGAAATGTGCCTTATTTCTGACCCAGCTAACAGAAATCACCAGGTAGCCCCAAATAACATACTCACAGCATGCCCTCAACCCCTGTTCTTCATGCACCACTTAGGAGGAAAAACAAACTCTTGAGAGAAACCAGGAGATTGCTGAAAACACTGAAACACCTTCAAATATAGCACAGCAGCCCCAAACCCTAATTCTGACAAATGTGAGCAAACCTTCAGTCTCCCTCAACAGCCCTCAATAATGTTATTATTTTAAGACAAGCTAACAAAGCACACAGCAGACTGTCCTAAAAATTTATGTAGTTGCAGAAATATTTTATCTGTTAACCCAGATAAGCACTTTTCTGAAGCTGATGGGTTTTTTTAATGTTAATATGCATGATTCCTAGATGTGCATCAATTTAGACATTCTTTCTTCAAAAGACAAACATACCTTGCATTCTTTTCCATATTTTTCTTTGGTCTGAAAGATAATCAGAAACAAAAAGATGAATTATCATCAATTCAACATAATAACATGAAAAATATCATTCATGTTACAGCACAGTGTTTTTTTTCCTAATTATGCTGCATTTAGACTCGTTCCCTCCTGTGTTTTGGGCTTATAGTTTGGCAGGTCAATAGGACAAAAAAAACCCCCAAAACCTCTCAAATCCATTTCTGTTTCAGAAATATTCATCATGGTATTGCAAGTCCCACCTCACACCTTGATGAAAAGAAGTAATGAGGCAGAATATTAGCAGCTCTTTTTAAGCAAAGATAGCATTACAGGAAATAAGTCCCTGAAAACAGACAGGTTTTGAAATATCTCCTTCTTCCCAATCTGGCAGCTGTGTTAAGCTAATTAACAGTGCAGCAGCTTGCTGCTCTCCATGTCGCACAACTCACCAGCACCAAACCTTTGATTTCTGATATTTCCCACACTCCAGACTCCCTACACCATCTTGCTCTCCTTTTTGACCAAATTATTCTCAAGTGACACACCTAACGCCACAATACCACCTACCAACAACAGCTGGAACCAAATCCTGTCGAGCAGAACCAACTAATTAGGAGTGTGTGACCAACTCAGCACCTCCTCCTTTAGAATAAGCACTTCAGGCTTATTTTAGTGCCTGAAACACACGGCTCCAGGGCCAAGAGGCAGGAGAGAACTGCACGGTCTGTCGGGCACGTACCATTCGGATATACGGGTTTTCTCCAAGACATGTCTGGCACAGAATAGGGAAATCCTGAATCGAGCAAGAAAACAGAAAATTAGGAGTTTGCTACAAACTCGGTCATCCCAACAGCAGTCAAATCGCAGTGCAGGAGTAGCATGAGGAGGAAAACAAATCCGGCCGCCTCAGAGACCCAAGGAGGCACGTTCCAAAGGAGGCAGTGGGAGGCACAAGCCCCTGCCCGAAGCCTGCACTGGGAAAGGCCCATGACACGACCGCTACCCCCATTCCGAGTGAAACTCAGCATAAACAAAACCCATCAGCGTCTTCTCGGGATCTTAACTCTCAGCAGCAGGTCACACGCAC